TTTCTCATTGTTCAGTTTTCAGAGGCCCGGACCGTTCTAGGTACACGTACTTACTTCACTGGTCAGACAGAGGACTTGAAGGAAAGGCCATTCCTCCGTGGTATTTTCTCACCCATCAGAACAAACGGACTTCACAAGTCTGTACACTCACACCTAATCATTTCACGGACCGGATGGGAATTACTAATGCCATATTTCTTCAACTCAAAGAACATTTCCTTTTCAGCCCGAGACAGGCAGCCACCTTATAGCCTGGAGGCTATCGGAATTTCAGTGGCAGTTAGAGACCCCGGACCATGTTGTGTCTGAAAAATCTACTTGAAATAACAAAAACAGATGTAACAACAGAAATAGGCTTTCCTTTATTATTATTATTATTGTTATTATTAATTTTAGGGGCTTATTTGTTAATTTGATTGTTGTGGGGCCATGCAGTACCGGGGATCAAACCTAAGGCCTCACACATCCCCTGGTCCCAGCTGTTTGGTTTGTTTTTTTTTGTACATATTTTTAATAATTTGTCTCACTTGGAGCAGAAGCAAAATTGCTATGACTGCTTTGATGAATTTATACCTTTGCCCATCATGTTGATTAAAAGCAGCATAAGTGGTTTTGAACACAACATTCTTCTGGGGCTACAGAGATAGCACAGTGGATAAGGCGCTTGCTCTGCACGTGGACAGCTGGGGTTCGATCTCCAGCATCCGATACAGTTCCCTGTGCACCCCCCAGGAATGACCTCTGAGTGCAGAGTCAGGAGTAACCCCTGAGCATTGCCATGTGTGGCCCAAAAACCAAAAGAGAAAAAAGAAGCATTCTTCTATTGATAATTCATCTTCAGTGAATTATTGTTAGCTAACTGTACCATCAAATCATTTGTCATGCAGGAAGTGAAGAGATGGGACAGTAGATAAGGCACCTGCCTTGTACAAAGCTGAGCCGGGTCCAATCCCCAGCACCACATATGGTCCCCTGAACACTGCCAGGAGTGGTCCCTGAGCAGAGCCAGAAGTAAGCCCTGAGCACCAACACATACCATTCAAATACTAAAATAAATCATTCATTGGAACAGACTCCAAAACATAGCATTTATTCTTTTTTTTTTTTTGTCGTGGTGGAAAATATTGAGAATATGATGTATTTATGTGGGATTGACCAATGAGGTGAGGTTTGGGTACATACTAAAGAACATGGAAGGATATGGTAATACACTCCGATTTGGTATATGCTTCCCCCGCCAAATAAAAAGGTACCAGTGGGTGTGCTCTTTAAAGATGTGTCTGCTCTTCTTAAAGAAAAACAAAAGTACATAACTTGGGGGTTACTAGCTGGTCAGAAATGATTTGCAGTGACACTCAAAAACATTGTGCTTTATCCTTTAGCGATCCAATCAGATGTTTCCAAAAAGGTGTTCTTTGCAGTAAAATTTTGAATCTACAGCCCAAGCCTCTCACCAGTCTTCATGCTTTAAAACTTGGACAAGGGCCTGGAGCAATAGTACAATGGGTAGAGCACTTGCCTTGCACACGGTTGACCAGAGTTCCATCCCTGGCTTCCCATATGGTCCCCCGAGCACCGCCAGGAGTAAGTCCTGAGTGCAGAGTCAGGAGTAACGCCTGAGCATCACCACGTCTGACCCTAAAAGCAAAAAACCCAAACAGCAACAACAAAAAATAAACCCATAAAAGTTGAACAAGATAAACTAGGAGCCTGTGCTTAGCACTTGTTTGATGTCAATTGAAAAACTGCTTTATTATGCTGGGTGGGCCCTACCTACCCACCATCACTGCTCTGGAGAAAGTGTTTAATGGGGTCAGTGGAAGTCTCTCGAGACACCAGTGCTGATTTCCACCCTGTGGAGTAAAAAAAAAAAAAATTTAATAGTCACATTGACATGTATTCTGAATATCTACACACCCATTCTTTGTTTTTTTAATTATTTTTATAAAGTTGTTCATCATTTATTACATTCAGTATCCCAACACCAATCCCAACACCAGTGCCCCTTCCCACCACTATTATTTCCAATTTTCCCAAGCCCCCCTCAAGCTGGCCCCTACTGCCAGCCCTACATAATTTATTTTATATTGCTTGTTGTAATTTGCTAAAATCGATCCAAAAAAATATTTCTTTTAAAGAAGGTTGTGTGAAAATTGCTGTATCTCACCAGGGAGCCAATAAGCCCTTGTAGAAGAGATTACTAACATGTTGTTACCAGTTAAGCCTTGCGTGTTAATATTTTCTTGATCGAGTTTAGGCACCCGTTATTTGCTATATTCTTTACAGTCAGTGCTCTTCACCAAATTTCTTCTAAAACTAGGAGGACTTGGGTCATAAAAAAGTACACCGGGTGAGGCTGACCCGGGTTTGATCCCTGGCTTCCCATATGGTCCCTTTGGCCCGTTAGAAGTGATCCCTGATTGCACAGCCAGGAGTAAACCCTCTGCACAGCAGGGTGTGACCAACCCCCCCCCCCCAGCAAAAAAAAAAAAAATACATGAGAACTTGAGTTTGATCCCTGGCACCCAAAGGGCTCCCCTCACTGCCATTCCTCACCAGCTGTGATCCCTGGGCACCACCAAGTATGGCCCCCAACCTAAATCAGACTGCTTTACATAAAAATAATTGTGAGTAATTGTGAAGATTGCATGGAGACATGAGGGCTGGATTCAAGGGGCTGAACTCAGATTTCACATGCAGTAGGCTCAGGTTTGATTCTTTGGTCCTCCAAGAACCACAGGGAGTGACCCACCACCATCACAAATACACACACACACACACACACACACACACACACACACACACACACACAGCTGCAGTCCCAAAGCCAAAATAAATGCACGGGCAATAGAGATAACTGCTCTTGTCTTCCTGTGGATGACATCCATAGTTTGGGACCACTTTTCACCTCAGTAGCCCATGCTCAAATTCCGTCTCTCACACAATATTGCATTGACACATCTGAGGGATTAAGAGCAGGGTATGAGCATCCACTGAGGTTTTCCTGTGCATAAAACTTGCCATACCCTCACAACCAGCCTATAGAAAGTTGCTGTCTTGTGTCCTCAGATTTCAGATAAGGAAAACTGAGGCCCAGTCATCTCCCCAGGGCTACAAAACCAGCAGGAAAGGGCAGCTGCCAAGTGCAAGATAAATCTAGCGGCCTCTCTCTCTCTCTCTCTCTCTCTCTCTCTCTCTCCCAATCACCACCTCCTTTTGTCACTGTTCTTGGCCTCGACCTTTTCCTTCTATATGCTTCGATAAGTCCCTAGTAGGAATCATATAGAACTTGTCTACCAAGGAGAAGAGGAAGGCAGTCTGGAAGAAAGGAAAATGTGGAGTGAAGCAGTCTTTGATTTTGAAAATGTTGAAAACACATGATTTAGAAATTAAAAGGGATTCCCCACTTAGACACCCCACCATGACCCTCCACAGAAAGCATGGAAATTCTCCCGTTAATTGTGGAACATTGGCGTGTTCCCATGGAAAGCTCCTGTGTTTGGGGCTATTGAGGGTTTATGGGGCAGCTTAAGTCATTAAATAACCAGAGTTAACCCCTGTTTCGTTAAGAGAGCAAGCAATTATTAAAAAAAAAAATTCCTCTTCTCTGCCTTCCACAAACAGCACAAAAATGGCACTGAGGACTCAAGCAATACATGGACATCTGTGCTGTACCTAGAGTTGTTAAAATAATTGTGATGACAGGTGTCTAGGTACCACTTTCTTAATGGTTTTCAATATCTACTGATTTATTGTGGTGGCTTTCCCTCCCCTTTTTACATCCTTGATTTTATGAAGGAGCCAGGGAACAGATTTTTGCACTAAATCCTGAGTCTTTATTCTAATACTGAAAAGAACTAATAAAAATAATCACTTGGCTTTTAAGCAGAAAGCTTCCATTTACAGTATTTCTCCCTCCCTCCCCCCCTTGCAAGCCCCTAGTTATCTAACATAATGGTTAGAATACATTTCCGTCTCTTCCCTTAATAATTTCATGCATTAACATCCTCTTCACACACCAGACTCTCTCTCTCTCTCTCTCTCTCTCACACACACACACACACACACACACACACACACACACACACAGCAAGAGGAAAAAAGAGGCAGCAGAAATCTCAGCTGTACTTCTAGCCCTTTTAAAAAGTTTGCTCTGTAAATTGGAATGAGGTCAGATTTGGAGCTTCTCATTGCACGCGGAGATTATTATTGCATCGGGTTCCAAGCCAATGGGAAGCCCGGGGGAGGGGCTTGGCACGAGGAAGCGTTGGTTACAGCGGCTGATTGGCTGCGGCCGAGACTGTGAAAGGATAAAGAGGCGCGAGGCGGAATTGGGGTCTGCTCTAAGCTGCAGCAAGAGAAACTGTGTGTGAGGGCAAGAGGCCTGCTTCGGCTCCCAGGTCTCTAGTTCTTGCACGCTCCTTAAGAGTCTGCACTAGAGGAACTCTGCCATTACCAGCTCCCTTCTTGCAGAAGGGAGGGGGAAAACATACATTTATTCATGCCAGTCTGTTGCATGAAGGCTTTTTGGCTTCCTACCTTGCAACAAAATAATTGCACAAACTCCTTAGTGCCGATTCCGCCCACAGAGAGTCCTGGAGCCAGAGTCTTTTTTGCTTGGCATTGTAGGAAAGGGACTAAGTGCTAGAGACAATGTCGCTTTCCTGAGCTCCGGGGAGCGCTCGTGAACTGGAATCAACTGCTTCGGGGGAAGGAAAGAAAGAAAGAAAGAAAGCGGAAAAAAAAAAAAAATAGGACTTGCCCGGGAGAGGCGGCAGAGGCGGCGGCGGCGGCGGCGGCGGCTAGCAACTTGCAGTGGAAGCTTCAGCAAGCAGCATTCGAGAAGAAACTCCTCTCCACTTGAGCCAGGTCTCCAGACTCCGCGGCGAGGGGCAGCGCCAACAGCAGCAGCGCGGTGAGAGCTAGCGAGAGAGAAAGCGAGAGAGAGAAAGGGGAGAGAGGAGAGAGAGAGAGAGAGAGGGGAGGAGAGCGAGCGAGCGAGCGAGCCAGAGAAGACTCTCCAGCCTGGGAAACTACAACTCCTCTGCGAGAGACGGAGTGCGCCCGCCCCGCCGCTCCTGGAGACTTCGCCCGGCTCGCCCACCTCCGCCCGGGCCGGGAGCCGCGGGGCCCCGCGCGCTCGCCGCGCGCGTCCTCCCGCTCGGCGGCGGCCGCCGGGCCCGGGGACCCGGGGGGACCCGGCGATCGCGCGTCCAGGAGGGGCTGAGCGCGCGCGCGCCGGGGGCGCCCGCCGAGCCGGGACCATGGTGCAGCAGACCAACAACGCCGAGAACACCGAGGCGCTGCTGGCCGGCGAGAGCTCGGACTCGGGCGCCGGCCTGGAGCTGGGCATCGCCTCGTCGCCGACGCCCGGCTCCACGGCGTCCACGGGCGGCAAGGCGGACGACCCGAGCTGGTGCAAGACGCCGAGCGGCCACATCAAGCGGCCCATGAACGCCTTCATGGTGTGGTCGCAGATCGAGCGGCGCAAGATCATGGAGCAGTCGCCCGACATGCACAACGCCGAGATCTCCAAGCGGCTGGGCAAGCGCTGGAAGCTGCTCAAGGACAGCGACAAGATCCCCTTCATCCGGGAGGCGGAGCGGCTGCGCCTCAAGCACATGGCCGACTACCCCGACTACAAGTACCGGCCCAGGAAGAAGGTGAAGTCGGGCAACGCGGGCGCGGCGCACGCCGCGGGCGCCGCCAACGCCTCCAAGGCCGGCGACAAGGGAGACAAGGTCGGTGGCAGCAGCGGCGGCGGCGGCGGCGGCGGCGGGGGCGGCGGCGGCGGCGGCGGCCACCACCACCACCACCACGGCCACCACCAAGCAGGGGGAGGCGGCGGGGGCAGCGGCGGCGGCAGCGGCGGGGGCAGCGGCGGCGCCTCCAAGCCGGCGCCCAAGAAAAGCTGCGGCTCCAAAGCGGCGGGCAGCAGCGGCGGCGGCGGCGGCCTGGGCAAGCCCTACGCCAAGCTCATCCTGGCGGGCGGCAAGGCGGCGGCGGCCGCGTTCGCCGCCGAGCAGGCCACGCTGCTGCCGCTGGGCGCCGCGGCCGAGCACCACGCGCTGTACAAGGCGCGGACTCCCGGCGCCAACGCCGCGCTGGCCGCGCCGCCGCCGCCGCCGCCGCCGCAGCCGCAGCCGCCGCCGCCGCCCGCGCCCAAGCACCTGGCGGACGGCGGCGCCAAGAAGGTGAAGCGCGTGTACCTGTTCGGCGGGCTGGGCGCGTCGGCGTCCCCCGTGGGCGCGGACCCCAGCGACCCCCTGGGCCTGTACGACGACGCGGCGGCCGGCTGCTCCCCCGACGGCCCGTGCCTGAGCGGCCGCAGCAGCGCCGCGTCCTCGCCCGCCGCCGGCCGCTCGCCCGCCGACCACCGCAGCTACGCCAGCAGCCTGCGCGCCGCCTCGCCCGCCCCGTCCAGCGCGCCCTCGCACGCGTCCTCGTCCCACTCGTCCGCCTCGTCCTCGTCGTCCTCCTCGTCGTCCTCCTCCTCCTCGTCGTCCTCCTCGTCGTCCTCCTCCTCCTCGTCGTCCTCCGCCTCCTCGTCCGCCTCGTCGTCGTCGGGCTCCTCGTCCTCGTCCGACGACGAGTTCGAAGACGACCTGCTGGACCTGCACCCCAGCTCAAACTTTGAGAGCATGTCCCTGGGCAGCTTCAGCTCGTCGTCGGCGCTCGACCGGGACCTGGATTTTAACTTCGAGCCGGGCTCGGGCTCGCACTTCGAGTTCCCGGACTACTGCACCCCCGAGGTGAGCGAGATGATCTCGGGCGACTGGCTCGAGTCCAGCATCTCCAACCTGGTCTTCACCTACTGATGCGAGCGCGCGCGCGCGCGCGCGCACACACACACACACA